GTGGCCAACCGAAGGTGCACATTTGCTGCTCAGCTGACCTCTTTGGCAAGTAAACATGATCATTTTGTTTGTTTACAAACTGCTGAATCTTTTCTCATCGGAGCGGAGAAAATCAAATTCGGCAGATCACCACTTTCGGCCAAGCGAAACAAGTCTTTAGCTCTTTTGAGTCTATTTTCCGTTCTTCTTCCGTTGCGGTGAAAGTTCTTGCACTTTTGGAATTTCTATGGCTTTACCCCGAGCTCATTTTTCAATATTTGCCGAATGGAATATTGCGATATGTTCAGCTCATGAGCCATTTTTCGGCTACTGCGACGCGGGTTTCGATCTTTTTTTTCTAACTATTTCTGCTGATGTTACCGTTTTTCTTTCGCCCACTTCCTTGACGTCGGGCTACGCCAGCAGTATCAGTGCCACGGTACCGAGCGATGGTACGAGACACAAAAGATTTATTCACATTTAAATGCTGGAGTGCTCTAACGATAGCCCTGCTCTAACAAATGACGCCTGCGCCGAAAAGTATGCTCTTTGAAACCCCAATAAGGTGCAATATTAAATTTGAGCTACAGATGGCGCCCAATGCAATCAAAGAGTTTTATTCAACACATTAGCAAATCTGAAACTGGAAATCATGCCAATTTGTCATGTTTTCTTTTAAATTTGTCTTAAATATTAACTAGGTATGATCCTCTTGCAATTGTTAATCCCTTCTATGACGGTAATAACATTTTGATGATGATAAATGATTTTGACATCTAGATGGTGCTACCCATCTTACATTCCAAAATAGCACCGTTTCCTTCATTCTCCATTCATAAACCTCTCTCAGTTTAGCTCTCCAATTCGTAACGCTGAAACTTTTTTCTATTTTTTTTTTTATTTTAAATTTTTTACTCTTTTATGGTGACCACTAAACGTATCGTTTTAATGATTAGCTTTGACGCTTCAATGGTTCTTTTAAATGTTGGTAGTATTACTTTTTTCATTGGAAAACCACAGCACCACCACCACCCTGGCCGATCGGCATTGGTTGCTGTAGGCAGCAACTGGAACGACATTAACGATGTCGTCTCTGTCGTGTCGTTATTACTGACATATGAGAATTGTTAAGCCAATAAAATGAATGTTCAAACAACCGAAATCATATGCAGTTGCACGCATGCGCTTTAAACTACAGTTATACGCAGCGGAGATGGCTAGGCAATGAAAAAATCTACTAAATGTTGGCTGAATGCTCAATAAATGTCAAAAGGCATGGTGGGCTAGATAATAAAATAAATTAATTCAAAAAGTAAAATGACAAATCAAAAAGTATCAGTCGATTTTGCCGACAGATGTATACCCTCAGCCAATGGTCGATTATTTAAATATATTTTGACTTCTGTTATGATTATTCAAATTATTGACTCTCCATGGAGTGGGTTCCGAAGGAACAGGCCAATATTGTCTATTCGTATATTTTCCTATTTGCATTTCCTTCTTGGCTGCATTCTCTTCTTATTTTCTGTTTGCAAAAGCTAAACTTTTTTAAAAAAGAATAAAATTAATTTTCTTAACTCAAAATCTAATCACTCTATTTGATTATTTGTGTGAGTTCTTATCAAGACTTGCGTTGTTGAAACAGTTATATCCCCCCAAAAAAGAATAACAATTACGTTTATTTATTGCCCAGATGGTCTGCACGACATGAAAGTAATCTCAATTTATTTAAATTGCATTTCTAAAACAAAAAAAGCTCAAAAAAAAAAACATTTCTTAGATAAAAAGCAATACAGGTTTTGTGAGAATTTCAACTTAGAATATGAAAGTGAATTATTAAATTATTTTGGATTGTTATGCGTTTTTCAATAATGAAAGCGGGTTAATATAACTGGGCATTTAAAATAATTAAATGTGGCAATCGGCAATTAACACATGTGGGGTATTTGAAAACAAGGACACGAGGCACTTAATACTTTAGGATATCAATTACTGGATATCATATCCAGAGAAAGAAAAGCCCATAGTATTTTGGTCAAAACTAGTAGTACATATCATCATTTTAAATACTCAATTTTTTTACTTGCTGCCCTCAAAATGGTAGGTTATTCAGACAAAAACCCGAGCACCAAATACAGATGTCGTTCTGTATGAGAAAATATAGATATAAAAATATAAATATAAAATTATAAATTCAAGAAAGCTAACTCCAAACTTATATTCTTACGTAGCGCACATACTATTTTCTTCAAAACAAGCAGAACATATCACATATTAAATACTTCCCATATGTCAAATATAGATGTCACTCTTTCCGATACAATATAGCAATATTATTAATCTAAAAATAGCAAACTTGAATCTAATATTTTCATACTATTTTTAAAGTTAGAAGATCATAGCATATTTTGAATACTCTATTTTTATTTGCTGTACTGCTATGTTATTCTGTATAATACCCGGTTGTCAAATATAGATGTCGCTCTTTATTAATCTAAGAATAGCAAACTTATTATAATTTTGTTCAAAATTAGTAGAACATATCACATTTTAAATACTTCCCATATGTTTTCCTAAAAATTTTATTTATATTCTGTTTAATACCTGTCTGTCAAATATAGATGTCACTCTTTAAAATACTATATAGCAATATTATGAATTTAAGAATAGCAAACTTGAGTCTTATATTTTCATACTATGTTTAAAGCTAGAAAATCATAGCATATTTTAAATGCTCCATTTTTTATTTGCTGTTCTTTTATATTATTCTGTCTAATACCCGACTGTCAAATATAGATGTCGCTCTAAGATAATTTGCTTTGATGCTTTCTCTAGATTTTATACCCTCCATCTTGAAAGGAGGTCATATTAACTTTGTCATTCTGTTTGTAACATCTCTAAATATTCATTGTAGACGTCCGTCGGTCTGTCTGTCTGTGGAAATCACGATACAACCCACATTATATGACATAGAGCTTCAAAGCTTGGCAGAACAATTTGTATTGTTTCTACGATGATTGGTATTGAAAATGAGATATATCGGTCCATATTTTGATATAGCCGCCATATAACGGTACCTCCCGACATTCTGTATGTTGGGTTAGCTATATGTTGGGTAATTCGTGATGGAATTCGAGCGTGCTAGTGTGATTTCTTTATATTTGGCTAGAAAACCATAAGTGGCTATCGTTAGAGCACTCCAGCATTTAAATGTGAATAAATCTTTTGTGTCTCGTACCATCGCTCGTTACCGTGATACTGGTAGCGTAGCGCAGAAGGAAGTGGACGGATGAAAACAGCAACATCAGCAGAAATGGTTGAAAAGTAAAGAAGCAGTGGCCGAAAAAATGGCTCGTGAGTTAAACATATCGCAAATATTAAAAAATGAGCTCGGGGTAACCATTGAAATTCCAAAAAGTGCAAGAACTTACACCGCAACAAAAGGAAAATAGACTCAAAAGAGCTAAAGAGTTGCTTCGCTTTGCCGAAAGTGGTGAACTGTCGAATTTGGTTTTCTCCGATGAGAAAACATTCGTTGTCCAGCAGTTTGTAAACAAACAAAATGATCGTGTTTACTTGCCAAAGAGGTCAGCTGAAAGTGAGCACCTTCGGTTGGCCACCAGAACTCAAGCGCCAGCCATGGTGATGGTGTGGGCCGCCATAACAGCCGATGGTCGCTTTCCGCTCGTATTAATCGACCGTGGCATCAGAATAAATGCCATTCCAACACGACTCAGCACCGTGGCACTCAGCACAAAAATGGTAACAAAAGAATGGTAACAAAATGAGGTTCCTCGCTTCATTGCCAGCACACAATGGCCACCAAAATCCCCATATACCAAACCGTTGGAGTATTTTGGATAGCAAGGTTGGCACTAAAAAATACCAAAGTGTCGATCACCTTAAGCAAGCGCTTCGCCGGGAATGGGCCAAAATACCGCAGAGCAACATTCGGGCAGCATGTGACGGTTTCTTTGGCCGTTTGAAGGCCATAATTCGTGCCAAAGGTGACCAATTCGAACAAATCTAAACTTGTTGATGCTATTTCCTTCATTTTTAGCTTTCATTTAATTCATTTTTTATCTCATCCTGTATATGTTGCTTCAATATTTTCGACACTCATATTACGCTGAAAAAAACCACTAACTTACAACATTATAATTGAAGAATAGATGGCGCTCTTTTAAGATTTCCTTGGCAAATCCACATTATAATTGACATCTGTCAACAAAAGTCCTGAATCAGGTGGTTTGTGTTATTGACTTGCTACCCCAAAAGTATGCTTTTCATTTTATCACTTTAGAAATAAAACATTTGTCTTATGCCAATAGATGGCGCTCCTTCTAATATACCAGCAAATATCTACTTCTTATTTTTTAAATATCCCCCCTCCCCTTCTCCCCTCAGCTGGCTACCTCTATGTTTTGCATAAATTTAATTTTATGGGTATCTTTATGATAATATCTAAGCAACAATAAACATTTTTATATGTGTCTAAGCGTTTTTAATTTCTTGATGACTTATTTAGTACCAAAGTCAGGCAAACTCAACCTAAAAAAATTAGCCAACCCGTGTTAATGGAAAACATAAAATTATTACAATAATAAACACATTTTCTTACATGTTTGCAAATAATCTATACTAGATTATTATTATTTTTTTAAATTTAATGCTTAAACGACAAAAAATCGCCCAGGCTATAAACCTTTTTTAAGTTAACAATAATTCACACTTGACAAAACAAACCAAAAACGGCGAAACAAAAAAAGACCTGACAATGCATTTTGTATTGAGTTGCAATAAACAATGAAATCTTGTCGTAGACTTTATGGCTTTTTGTCGTCTAGCTAGCTATACAGAAATACACACACACATATATACACACACATGTATTGGGAAATAAAAATTCAAAGAAAAGTTTAGGACTCCATAAAAATCTGTAATTTATGAACAAACATGTTTAGCTGTTGGAAAAACAATTAAAATTAATTTTCATCTCTGCTTTTTTTTTGTAATTTCAGCCAATCGATAATGCAGCGGCAGGTGGTGGCGTCAGTGGGGCATTGGAAGATAGTTGGTGCTGGGAACCAGATAATGTCAAAACAACCGATTCCGAAACCTCTTCCGGCAATGGCAATGAAATTGTCAACATCACATTGGAGGAGATACCCTTGGGTTCCTCTGCCAAGGGCCTGGGGAAAACGAAAATTCATCGTTTAGGCAGTGGCGGAAATTCTGGAGAATTGCAAAAACGCATCCATCAACTGGAGGAGGAAAATAAACAATTGAATAATTCTCTGGAAGAATTAGATACCCAACATAATCTGGAAATGCAAAATGTCTTAGAATTGAAAACAGAATTGCAGGAAAAACTCCATAAGGTTTCCAAGGACTATGAGAGCTTAAAGCAAAAACATGAGGAAAAGTTTGTGCAAACTGAACTGGAAATGGCAAAACTGAGAAAGTCTCAAGAGCAGGCAGAAACTGAAAAGCTTTCCATTTCCCAGGAAAATGCCACATTAAAGCAAAAGCTTGAAGAAAGCTCGCTGGAAATAAAACGGGTTTTTGTGGAAATGTCGGATTTGCAAAGTCTGTTGGAAAAGAAAACCTTGGATAATCAAGAGTTGATACAACGTATCAAAGAGGTGTCTGAAGAGGCCCAAACCGACAAGGAGGAGTTGCAGCAAAAGTTGGATTTACTCACCCAAGAAATTGAGCAATTGAAGGTGACAAAAACCAAAAAGACCTCCGAATCTTCAAACAGCAGTTCGAATGGCAAACAAAGTGAAGATGAGTTTATTGTGGTCAGTGAAAAGGATGCCAACTCCCCTTCGTCGGGAGGCACCCCACCCTCCAAGGAAGAGCTTAAAGATCGTGTTGTGGCCTTGGAAAATCGTGTTTCAGAATTAACCCTGGAAAATGGCAGCCTTTCTCTGAAGCTACAAGATCGTGAAATGGAAAAGGAATTATCCCTAAAGGTCCTCAAGGATAATCTCAAAACTTTGCAGCAGGAAAACGATGAGCTCAATGAAAAATTACGCATGGCCTTGATTGATCTTGAGGATCAACAATTTAAAATTTCGGATTTGAAAGAAAAAGCTTCAGAGGCCATTATTGCCCAAGAGCAACTTAAAGCTCTGAATGAAGAGAAACTGAAATTTGCTGCCGAAATCAAGGAGATGCGGGAGTACATGAACAACTCCTTGGAGTTGGAGAAACGTCTCATCCTGGCAGAGCAAGAAAAGGAAACTTTGCAATTAGAATTGCAAAGCTCTAAGGGTGCCGTGGAGAGGATCAATGCCATGGAACAGAAAATACAAAATCTGACCTATGAAAATCAACAGCTTAAACTCAACGCTGAGGCTGAGACGGAAACGCTTAATAATAGTGCCGAGTTGGAGGAAAAGCTCAAGGAGCTCAGTGTTGAAAATACCCAGCTCAAAACAGAGCTGCAAGAGAGATCTGCTAACAGCAAAAAACAACAATGCGTCACGGATTTGGATGATGAGGAAGGCGATGATGATGGTGTTAGCAGTACGAATGACGAAAGCTTTTCAATGGATAAGCTTAAGAGCTTACTCAAGGCTTTCTCAACTTCCTCTACAGATTTACAAAGTCTAAATCTGGAAGAATATGAGATATTCTATAAAAATCTCAAGGAAAAACTGAGCAAAATTGATTCCCTACAACGCGACCTAAATCACATGTCCGCCGAGGTAATGGATTTGCAGGATAGCAAATTAATGTGGGATCATGAAAAGAAAACCCTGGAGGCGGACATCTCCCAATACATCCTGCAGTGCGACGAGCTAATGAAAAACAACGAAATACTCTTAAACGAATTGGAAAACTACAAACGCAACAAACTCGAAACGATCCACGAAAATAACGAGGAAAATGTCATGCAGCTAGAGACTCAACTGGATGAGTGTACCAAACTGAATCGTACCCTAGAACAGGAATACATGGAGTTGAATGAAAAAATCGACGAGTTGGAAAAGGAAAATCAAACACTCAATGAGAAGCTGAGAGAGTCTCAGCGGCAGTATGAAAGCCTAACCACAAGGGAAAAGGATCTAAATCTCCAGGTGGAGACCTTGGAATTGGAGAAGTCTAATTTATTGCTGAAATTCAATGAATTCGATTCTAAGGCTCATGAAAACGAGGAGGAGAGTAAAAAGCTCCAAGAATTCCAAGCGAAATGCAATGACTTGGAACAACAGCTGTCGACATTGGCCCGAGATCATGCCGATCTGGTCAATGCCATGCAGAAGCAAAAGGAAAGTCTCCAAGAAAACATACTTGCCAAGGAGGAGGCCGAGAAGCAGCTAAGGGCCCAGGAAATTGCCATGCATACCAGAATGGAAGTGGAGAAGGTCAGCCAACAAGAATTACAAGAGAAATTAAACAAATCCTCAGCGGAGGCCGAGAAATTCCAACAGGAACTAATGGCAAAGAATATTGTTTGTGAAAGTCTACAACAAGAAATTAAAGTTTTGCAATCCTATGTCCAGGGGGCAGAGACACTGGCCAATGAAAAGGTTCAACTTGAGGAGCAGCTCATGGAAAAACAACAACAAACCCAAGAGCTGCAAGAAGAACTCAAGAGCTTAAAGGAGAAACAGGACTCGATGATGAAAGAACTAGAAGTCCTTGAGAAAACCAAAGCAGCAGAAGAAACCTCAACAGAAAGCCTGGCAAAAATTGCCGAGCTGGAGGCCAAACTTTTGGCCACGGCAGATTTGCAAAAATCCCTGGAAACTCTGCAATTTGAAAAACAGGAATTAATCAAAGCTTTACAACAAAAACATGCCGAAAATATGCAATACTATATGGAGATACAAAGATTAACACCCTTGGTGGGTCAACCACAAACAGAAACAGCTGAACCATCCGCCACGGCCTCTCCAGACACCGTGAAACCCTGTGATAAATGCCCACAATTGGAAACAACAATTACGGAGCTGAAAAAACAACAAGAAAAATTCCAAGATCAAATTAATTTCCTCAAAGAAAAATCAGATATTTTGACAACGAACCTCCTAACGGAACAAACCAATCAGAAATTGGTACAAGAGGAAAAGGCTGATGTCTTGGAGCAGAATGCCACGCTACGTAAAGATGTGGAACGTTTGAGAGCTCATCTCTTGGAAATCGAGGATATGCACACACAGGAGTCGGTAGAAATGCAAAGAGAGTTGGATGAAACCAAGGCCCGCATGCAGGAGCTGGAAATTGAAGTTTCGAAATCCAGCAATGCCTATACATCGGCAAGGTGAGTTTAAATAAAAAAGATTATTATAAAATAGAAACAAGTAAATAAGCTGTAAGTTCGGCCAGGCCAAACTTTGAATATCCTCCACCATTTGGAACGAAATTGGCAATACCAAAATTGAAACAATTCTGGTGAATAATGTCGCTAAAATCATCAATATACCGAATATAGGGAGATACCATAATATGGGGGCTATATGAAGGCGTGGATCTGCACGGACAATTTTCTGTCATAGGCTGTAGTATTTCAAATACCAAATTTGAAACAATTCCGATGAATAAAGTCGCTAAAATCATGAAAATACCGAATATCGGGAGGTGCCGTTATATGGGGGCTATACGAAGGCGTGGATCTGCACGAACAGTTTTCTGTCATAGGCTGTAGTATCCATTACGAACTTTAAATACCAAATTTGAAACAGTTCCGGTGAATAATGTCGCTAAAATCATCAAAATATCGAATATCGGGAGGTATCGTTATATGGGGGCTATACGAAGACGTGGACCTGCATAGACAATTTTCTGTCATAGGCTGTAGTATCTATTACGAATTTCAATTACCGATTTCGAAACAATTCCGGTGAATAATGTCGCTAAAATCATCAAAATACCAAATATCGGGAGGTACCCTTATATGGGGGATATACGACGACGTGGACCTGCACGGACAATTTTCTGGCATAGGCTATAGTAGCCATTACGAACTTCAAATACCAAATTTGAAACAATTCCGCCGAATAATGTCGCTAAAGTCCTCAACTTTTAAGTCCTGAATAGATGACCTTTAAGTCCCTTATAGACGACCTTAAAATCCTCAATAGACGACCTTAAAGTCCCCCCTAGACGGTCTTAAAGCCCCCACCCCAGACGGTCTTAAAGTCCCTCATAGACGGCCTTAAAGTCCCCCTAGACGGTCTTAAAGTCCTTTATAGGCGGCCTTAAAGTTCTCGCTATAGACGATCTTAAGCTACTGATTATAGACGACCTTAAGGTCGTCTATAAAAAATACAAAGACTTCTATCCATCTTGGACTGCTTTCAAATTGTTTACCCTAATAACCCTCCTACTGGTGTTTTATACAGGTAGTCTTCTCATAAGCTCTTTAGGTCCTTAGAGCAGCTTTCCAATTAGAAAATTTCATCTAGTTATTAATAGGACATCGATTCTTCTGAAGGCTTAGTTTATTTCCAATATCAAACCACAAACCCCTTTTCAGCAAAATTTGCTTCTCCTCCCTTGTGTCGGCAGGCTATTTTAAAAACCATTTTCTTTATCAATGCCGATGACGACTCTTTTTCTTTCCTTTGTTACCCAAAATTATCTAAAAAAATTCTTTATCAGAATACCGGAGACAAATAGAATATTAAATAAAAAACGAAATGAAACGCAGCACAACACAAAAATCGTTAATTAACCAGAACAAAGACTAATACTTCCATTTGGTTTTTATGGCACAATAATGCCAGAAACTCGACAATACACATCTACACTACACCTGTGTAAAGTTTGCACAAAAAATTATTATTATCAGCTAATTATAACAAATAGTAGCAGAACGACGAACGACGTCGAACAAGCCAGCAAATGAACGAAAATTGGCACAAAAAGAGCCGGTGTTGACTGGGTCTGACTGGCTGGCTGGTTGATAGGTGAAAATATGAAGGCATCCAAGCAAGGCAGCAAAAATGCTCAATTATTGACGACGCCATATTGTCGGCCATTTTGTGTGTCACAATCCCGAGGAGAGGTGTCTGGCAAAATGCTATAGAAACGTGTACTTTTCAACAAAAAGAAAAAAAAACCCAAATTGTTATTAACTTTTGTATGCATTAACAAATATTTCTTATCGTTACGCCTGCCAACAAATGCCAAAAGCGGGAAAAGTAATACTTCTATGGAAAAAACATCCATAGCACCTTTGAATTCTTTATTTTAATGGGCATTCCAGAAAAAATGCATTTTCTAACTAATTTTGTTTGTTTTTTCTTCTTTTTTTCCAGCATTCGTGCCAATCAGCATGCCGAAACACTGCAGGCCCAATATGCCCTAGTTATACAACAACGTGACGAATTGCTACACAAGCTATCACTGGCCGAAGATCGTGAATCGAAAAATCAGGCTGCCTTAACGAATTTGCAATGTGCTTTGGAACAGTTTCAGAATGGTAACTAAAAACATTGAATAATTTTTTAAACAATTTAATAATTATAATTTGCCATTTTCCCCCGTTAGACAAAGAAAACGACATCAAATCGGCCACGTTGCGTATACGCAAAGAATTACAACAGCATTTGGACAAAGAATCCCAACTACAATTGGAAATACAACAGCTGCAAGCCCAATTGGCCGATGCCACACAGGGCTTAAATGCTGCTGCCCGTTTGTCCGATCAATTGGAATCATGTCAACAGACCATACAGGCCTTAAGAGAGGAGGGTAAGTTAAATGGGATGGTGATTTCGGTACATCCAACATTCAAATTAAGAAAAAAAGAAGTGTGAGTGACTAATCATCAGCAACTGTAGATAATCCCAACGGATGAAGAAAAAACATTTGTGTGAACTAACATTATTGAAAGGTTATTTTTTCGACGGAAAACTCCATTAACTTAACAAAAATTGTAATTCTGAACTTGAAAAAAGGATAATTTAAACATTTCTGGCTTTTGATATCAGAAAACCTTTAAGGCGTCTTTGTAGACAGCCACAAAGACGTCTTTCCGAAAGACCTTAAAAGTCTGTTTAAAATCTTTATAGACTATTTAAAAGTACTTCAAAGACTAGCTCAAAATTGCCTTTAAAAATGACCTCAAAGACGACCTTTACCTTTTTATAGGCAACCACACCACACATAAACGACCCAAATGACGTCTTTAAGACGATATTATAGATGACCTTAAAATTTTCTGGCTTTGATGTAAGAAAGCTTTAAAGGCGTCTTTGTAGACAGCCACAAAGACGTCTTTCCGGAAGACCAAAAAAATTTGTTTAAAATTTTTATAGACTATATAAAAGTACTTCAAAGATGAGCTCAAAGTCGCCCTCACAGACGACTTTAAAAAAGGCCGCAAAGACGGCCTTACCGTTTTTTAGGCAACCATAATATTGTCTTTATAAACGACCCAAATGCCGTCTTTATTTTGGTGTTTGTGTCGGTTTTATATACTTTCTAAAGACATCTTTCTTGAAGGTCCTAAAAAAGTCTTGAGATTATGACTCTAAAGTCATTTCAAGACAATCTGAAAGTCGTATTTATTTGTATTTTTAGATGACGTTAAGATCAAATTTATGGATGATTTTAAATTCATATTTTAGATGAGATTTTAATTCATCTTTATAGATGACCTTAAAGTCGTGTTATAAAGATTCTAAAGTCGTCTTCGATAAAACCTTGACCTTGATAGACGATTTGAAAGTCGACTTTTTGACCGAGCTAAAATTCCTTATCTTTATAGACGGCTTTAAAGACGAGATCAAAGTCGTCTTTATAGACGACCTGAAGACGACTCTGAGTCTTCGTATTTGTATTTTTAGATGACGTTAAGGTCGCATTTATGGATAATTTTAAAATCATCTTTTAGATGAGATTTTAAGTCATCTTTATAGATTACCATAAATCATTCTTATTGACGACCTTATGTCTCCCTATAAAAACTCTAAAGTCGTCTTTCAGGGTTCCATAAAAAGTCTTCTTTAAATGTTCGTAGCTCCCCCAAAATTGTATGTATGGACGAGCTTGTATTCGTATTCCTGGAATACCTAAAAACGCCTTCTTAAAATCTTTATAGTTGTCTTGATAGACAAACTGAAAGTCGACTTTTTGAACGAGCTAAAAATTGACTTTTTACAAGACCAGAATATTTTCTTTATAGGCGACCTCAAAGACGAGATAAAAGTCGTCTTTATAGACGACCTGAAAGTTTACTACACAGACGACCTGAAGACGGCTTTTAAGTTGACTTTATGGACAATCTAAAATCCGTCTTTTTAGACTTTAAATTCTTATTTTTAAATGTCAAGATTAATGTCTAAAGTGACATTTCTTGAAATCTATATATATAGACGATCTGAAAGTGGAATAGACGACTTGAAAGTTTACTTTAAGGACAACCTAATAGCCTTCTCTCTAGACGACCTTAAATTCTTATTTTTAAATGGCGACTTTCGAGGTTATAGAGAGCCTCTAATTCTTATTTTTATACGATCTTAAAAATCTTTTTTTATCAATCCTAATAGTAGTTAAGGTCGCATTTATAGATTATTTTTTATTCATCTGTTAGATAATATTTGAGGTGCCTTAATTAACCAGCTTAAAGTCATGTTATAGACTTTCATTAAGTCTTCTTGATATCTGTATAGATGGACGACCTGAAAGTGGAATATATAGACTACCAGAAATGGAAATGGACGACTTAAAATTCGTCTTGATTAACAACCTGAATGTCGCCATTATGGACCGCCTGAAAGTCGACTTTATAGGCGACCTTTAAAACTCGTTTTCATACTACATTCAAGTCGTAATTTTAGACCCTTAAATCGATCTTTAAAGTTATCATTTTAGACGATCCTAAACGAAGTTACGGTCGCATTTATGAATGATTTTGGATTCATCTTTTAGATGATTTTAAATTCTTAAAGTCCTTATTGACGACCTTAAAGCCATGTTATATAATTTTTAAAGTCATTTAAAATCTTCTCGATATCTGTATAGAAAGTGAAATTTATAGATTATCTGAAAGTCGACTAAATGGACGACCTAAATGTCGTCCAAAGCTAGCTTAGAAGGACGACCTTCATCGCCTTTTTGGGTTAACTTTGGCTCGTCTTAATGGAGGAAATTAATGTCGCCTATGTAATATATCACTTATTTGAAAGGTCCTTCTCCTTGAGCCCGAAATATAAAATTAAATACATCTATAAAGTCTTATGTCTATCTATAGATTCATTATACGATGTCTTCTACAAATAAGATTTTATTAATATCATCCATCAAAGCTTGGTTGATTAAATTATTCTTTTAAAAAGTTCAGAGTTATACCAATTCAAAAAATGTGCTAAAAAAATAAAAATAAATCTTAAAATGCACCTCAGCACCAAACACTCACTCATACCCACACTCAAAATCCACCTACCAACACCAAATATTTTCTTTAAACAATTTATTCTTTCCCCATCCCTCACCTACACCACGAATATCAAATACCACAAACTAAAAGCCACGTAAAAAAAAAACAAAAACCAAACGAATGTTCAACCAAAAAAAAAACCAAAATCATTTACCACCTCAAAGAATTCTTAAAAATAAATATCAGCTGGTAATTCTGGGATTTATTTACAAAAAACATTGGCATTCCCCGGAATTTCAGTTGGTATGGATTTTTTCGAATTCATTTCTTACACCATATATAACTAATGTTAATGCAAAATAATTGATTTTTTTCAAAATACAATAATAACAAATTATTATTTTTTCCAAAAAGTTGCAAATTTTTATTTTCTTTTAAATTATTTTTATTATGATTTATTTTCTCATTTTTTGTGTGCATATGTTATTTCATGTTTTGTGTAATTATTATAATGTGTGTGCTTTATTATTAAGTCTGTTTGTTTATAATATTATTTAATGTTTTATAAGACTTCATTGGTTGTTTTCTGAAAAACGAAAATTTTCAAAAACCAAATGAATTAAATTTGTCCAATTTTCGAAGAGTTAAAAAAACATTTATTCAAATTGTTAAATTTGTTATATGAGACAATGTTTAATTATTAAGGAAAAGATAACAAACGACATATGGCTGGGGCTATAAAAATGTTGCAGATAATTGTAAAGAATTAACTTTACATATGATTCGTAAAGTTAATTTTTCCACAATAATCTGCAGAATTTGTATATCATAAGTCATACGGTCATATCCGTTGCAGGACATTTAGAGTCGATCTAGCGATGCCAGTCCGTCCGTCCCTGGGTTTGCCTGGCATTATATTATTATTAAACTTAGATTGAGTTCGGAGATGGGCAATATCGGTCCACTCCTTCATGTAACTCCCCCACAAAAGGTCGAAATTTTCAAAAAAATTTAATTTTTTATTTTTACTCCAACTTTGCAAATCCTAATATTTGCATCAGTGGTAGGTCATGTGCGAAAATGGACAATATCGGTTCACTCCATCAAGTACCTCCCCCACAAAGGGTCTAAATTTTGAACAATTAAAACTCTTATAAAATGTAAATGTGATGTAAAAGTCCGATTGTCATCAAGTTACACACATCACAATATTTTTATGAATCCAAGGTCTGATGTGAAAACGGACTATATCGGCCCACTCCTTCTGGTACCTCCTCCACAAAACGTCAAAATTTTAAATATTCACGAAGTTCATAAAATTCATAAAATACGAAATTAATATCTCCATCAACACAAGATCTGTTATAATGATGGTAGAGATCGGACCATTCCTTCTGGTTCCGCCCCCACAAAGGGTCAAAGTTTTGAATAACAAAAACGATCATAAAATCCTAAAAAAAAAGCATCCGGTTCACTCCAAATTACACACATCACACTATTTTTTTTAACCCAACGTCTGGTGTGAAAATAGGAAATATCGGTCCACTCCTTTTGGTACCTCCACCCACAAAGGGTCAAAATTTTGAGTATCCATGAAGCTCCTAAAATTGGAAATAAACATCCGATTCCATTCAGACTTGGCACATCTGAATATTTCCATCAACACAAGAACTGTTATAAAAATGGTACAGATCGAATCATTTGTTCTGGTACCTCCCCCACATAGGGTTCAAGATTTTTGAAAAACAAAAGACTCAAAGAAAACGAGATAAGCATCCAACTCTCTTCAAATTTCACCCATCCAAATATTTTTTCTAACCCCAGATCTGTTGTGAAGATGATATATATCTGCCAACCCTTCTGGTACCTCACCCACAAATGGTCATAATTCCCAATGCTTATATCTGTCTTAACTTGCGAAACAAGTCAGCGATTCTTTACATCTTGCTATATCTAAGTATTTCTCTCAACCAGAAACCTGAGATGAATATAAAATTTATGATTTTGAATAAAAAATGTTCGATTTCCTTCAAAATTTTGAACATGCCAATGTTTTTATCTGTATTAGATGAAGTATGAAAATTGAATACTTTTGTAACCTCCCGCATATTTTCACATTTTTCCAAAAATGTTCACATGTCTCATATAAAGTATAGGAAGTAGTCGATATAGTCCAAATCTGTCATGTTAAAATATTTATATCAGTCTTAGATCAAATACGAATTAGTCAATATTGGGCAAATGCTTCGGAACCCCCGCCATAAAGAGTCAACAGTTTGAATAATCATAAGTCAAGGCTGGGGTATACAACTGTCTGCAAAACCGACTGATACTATTTTACTTGTTTCAATGGTGAAGGGTATAAAGTCCTTTATAACTTCTTTTTGGTCTTGGAACCTTAACTAGGATAGTAAATATGTTACTCAAACATTTTTTTCAATGTAAGACATAATAACATCATTTCCCATATTGTATGTTTTCTGATCTATGTTTTTTCACAATCATTTTGTTTATATCATTTATTAATTTATAGCTTTAACACATATCCATATAATTTTCAACGCTATTTCTTCCACTCCTCTTCGTTTACCAAAAAACAACTATTAAAAAATATATATTCAATCAAAAATGTCCGCTTTCAAGAAATCTCATTATGTAATGTGGTGATTTAGATTTGTTTCCAATCACGTTGCATGTGGAGATTACTTGGCCTGGCATTAAAGTCTTCATTTTGTTTACCACTTTTTTTTTTTGCAAATTTTGTATTTTGTTTTGCTAATGTTAATTTCAAAATTTCCAAAAAAGATATATTAAAAATCTCTTGTGCCGTCCTTTTGTCTACAAGCATGTTAAATTATTAATTTGTTTTAAATTTATTGTTTTTTATTTTTGATTTTTAAAAATGCAACTTTTTTTATTTTAAATTACTAAGGTTAGGTAAAAGTGCGTGTTTGAATAACCAACCGGTATCCCGTTAACGTTCGCAACCAACCAATCAATCCCAACTTCGTGTTTTCCCATACTTTTGTCTGTCAGAGTATTACATTAGGTACTGGTGTTGATTTTTTCAAAAAACGTTGTTATTGTTTTTCTTATAATAACAAACATTTTACCTACCAGTACTTATGTCATACTTACATACAGATGAAATGTAAATATCATCATCAACCAGGAATGAATGAATAAACAACCAACGCTAAGTGTTACAAAATATAAATCTCCCTCCTAAAAATATGCACCGAAAAACCCCAAATAAAGCATGGAAATAGAAATAAAACAACTAAATCAAAGAAAAGTGAAGTGTTTATTATTAAGATAAAAACAATAAATATATATGATAGTAAAAAATAATAAAAAGTGATAATAATAATATGAAAATGTGTTAATAGTATACATAACGACGTGGGTGGATGGAAATGGGGCTTGTTGACCAATGCCTTATTGAATCGTTTTTATCTTGATAACCAATCAAAAGTGTTGTAATTTTTTGTTTGCATATTTATAAACTGGATTGATTAGGTCAGAAGCCTTTGAAGTAAATAGAACTAATTTATTTCATATTTTTGCTCAACCTTTCCTTGGTTATATTCCAATTTCTTTAGAAGCATTTTTTACTAAATCTCTTGTGATTTGGTGTCTGTCGAGATCGCAACGTTCGAAAATTTTTCTAATTTCATAATTTGATATAAAGTTGCGTTCAATTTTAAAAGTCGAGTTCTACATCTGCCTTCAAGTTCAAAAGCGATATGACTTTTTAAGCTCATATTTACATTGGTGCTGGCAGAGCAATTTGGAGCTGTATTAGATGTTGCACATGTATTGAAGCCAGGTGGCTTTACAGTTTTTTTTTTCAGAATTGTCTTGATTCATAATTGTATGAAAATTACAATTATACCCTACATCATGATATAAAGCGAAATATGTTTTTATATTCATAAAATAAATTTTTCTGACCACGCCACCTTCCAAATTAATTTAAATTGGCTACAGGCACGCCAAGAACGAAGATTAACTGTAGCGGTCTATGCTTTGGTAAACCCCCTATTTGATGTTAAGTTATGTTTTTTGCGTGTTTGAAAGGATTTAGTCGCAATTGCATCGACAATAATCAAAAAACAAAAAAATTTACTTTCACAAAATCGGGTGTAAAGATAGAGTATAGCGGACCACTGCTTCAGTTCCTCCCCAACAAAGGGTCAATATTTTGAAATAAATGCGAAATAAGCATTCGGTTTTTTTCAAACTTCACACATCCGAATATTTCTAACAAAACAAGTTCTGATGTGAAGATGGACCACTCCTTTGAATACCTTCCCCACAAAGGGTCAAAATTTGGAATATCTAAAACGATCATAATAGCGAAAAATGCATCAGATTCTTTTTAAACTTCGCACATCCCAATATTTTAACCATTACAAGATAGGGTGTGAAAAACCAAAAGCCTTGGTGTAACTTATCCCTTCGGGAAAATTTTCAGCTAATGATTATAAAGAAACCCCTTTTATTACCGGGCAAAGGAATCAGTGTCTTCTTCTGAAACAGTTTGACGTATTCGGAAAAGCTAAAAATGATCGCGTACGAAAATTTTCTATGAAGGGGGTCGAATAAAAGCTCCTTGATTTTGCACTTTCGATGTTCACTCTCTATGGGTTTTTTAATAGTTGCTTTTCAATAGGCATCCGTAAGCCTTGGTGGAACTGACCTCTAAACGAATTTAAATGTGAATTTTTGATTCTGATTTCTCCTTTTCTTTTACTCGTTGACTAATGAAAATTGCGAAAAATCGCTAACCGAACTAAGAATTATCGTTTTCTTGTGGGACAGTTGGACGTCTTCCGAAGGGCTAATAATAATCCCGCAAGAAATTTTTCTATACAAGGGGGTCGATTAAATGCTCCTTGATTTTGCTGTTTCAATGTTTCCTCTCTATGGGCTAGTTTTCTTAATGATCCCTTAACCTTGGTGGAACTAACCTCTAAAAGACTTTAGCTGATTTCCCCGTTTGTCAGTTCCTTAGTCACTCACTGGCTAAAAAACATCATCTTTTTATGGGGCAGTGGGAAATCTATCATTTAAAAATTTTTTTGAAGTTTTATTAAATAAAAATTTGGCCAAAAATTAAAATTTTTTGAAAAAAAAAATTATTTTTTGAAAAAAAAAATTAATTTTTTGAAAAAAAAAAATTTAATTTTTTGAAAAAAAAATTAAATTTTTTAAAAAAAATTTTAGATCTCAATTTTGTTTTTATTTTTTTGAGAAAATCTCGAATTTTTTTAAAATTTTTAAGAATTTCAAGAACGTCTATGATTTATTTTTCTGGGTCAGTTTTTTTAGGATTGCTGTTCTTAAATGCTCTCCAACCACCTTTTTTTTCGATTTCTAGCTCGATTTCCCTGTGGGAACCGTCTCAATTTTCTCAATACGCTTTCTTTCGTCTGTCTTCTTGTCGATCGATTGGGCGTCTTCTCAAACAATAGGTTGTTGTTGTCCAGTTTTACTCCTTCAGCCCTTAAGACACCTTTTTTTTGTCGTATTTTTATCAGACCTCCTTTAAGGTGAACGCCACCAATTAATTTTTTTCTACGTTAGGATGTGTTCTTTTCCCAGCAGCCCACTCAGAACGCGATTCTAGCCAAGAAAATATGCTTCTTCAAAATTTCATTATGCACTACAGCTGACTTTCCAAACCTCCCAAAAACATAGAAATTTAATTTGTGAAGATTCAAAATAGTTTTCAATAAAATATTGCAAATATATTTTTTTTTTAATTTGTTTCTCTAGAAATATGTGGTTTTTTCACATCCATGTGATAAAAAATCAACATTTATCGGACAATATCTTTATTTCCATCTTACCTAACCATCGAAGTGTGTCTTCTGTAATTTCTATTAAAATTGTAACAAACTGTGTCGCAATATTTAACAAAAATATTATTTCATTTTATTTATCTCCTGTTTTTTTTATTTTTTCAATCTTTTTTTCATGCATTTAATAATTTTTTATATTTTTCTCCCTCTCAAAATTTCAGTGGATACCCTAAAGCAACTGAATGCTGGCTTGGAAAAGAAATTATCTTCGGCGGAATCTAGTCAATCGGATAAGATCGAAAAGTCACTCATCAAGAGTTTACTTATCGGCTATGTGGTCAGTCAAAATCCGAATGATAAGCAGCAGATTTTGCGTATGATTTCCTCGGTACTGGATTTCAATCAGGGAGAAACCGATAAGGTGGGACTTAATAAACAACAAGGTGGATGGTTGGGATCCTTGTTGGGCGGTGGTGGTGGAGCAAGTGGAGGTGCGGCAGGTAAGATAAATTGATATAGTCCCAGTTTATTTATATTTTAATATTTATTTGATTTTATCCCTAGGTTCCCATTCCAAAGACAACTTGGTACAGGCTTTTGTACAATTTCTCGAACAGGAATCTCAGCCACAATCACAGCGTCAACAAATGCCCAATTTGCTTAATATACAACATTCCTCAACGTCGGCGGCCACAACATCATCGCGGCGTTCATCACAAATTACCAATCCTATTTCACCGTCACAACAACAACAGCAGCAGGCAACGACGGCATCTCAATCAGCATCACCTTCAACAGCAACTACTCACACACCCGTGCCCATACAACCTTTGCTACTTACTTCAACGGTTTTAGATGAATTCTCACCCACACGAAATTCAAGTTCCATACTAAAGGACATCTTGAGTGATTCGTGATTATTGTAATAGAAATACTTAAAATTATTTTTACGTTTTCCTTTTGCCTTATTAGTTTCCTTCTTTGATTTATAATAAAGTTTTGTTTATTATTAGATATATTTTCTTTTCAAAAAAATGACCTTTTGAATTTCAATTATTTTTTTTTTCCAAAAAGAATCTTTAAATGTAAATCATTAAATGTAACTCCCTTACTGTGGATAGTGCAATTATTTTGTGAACTTTTCCTTTTGATATTTCCTGTTCTTGATATTGACAATTTAATTTGTTATTGTTTCAAATATGCAAAAACAATTTTTGTTCCATTTGTTTTGAAAAAAAAATTGATAATTTCCTATTATTTTTGTATAATTTCCAATTATTTGCCATTAGATCCCCTTTGTACATAGTGTTGTAACCGTGATTAATTATGTTGAAAGACAATTTTTCATTATTTGTTTTTTTTTTATTTGAGGCAAACACCATAGCTATATAAATATTGTATACAAGAAGAAAAAAATAAGAAAACATCTACATATTTGTAAATCCTTTATCTGATTTCTGATATATAATCCACTTCTAAATAAACAAGAAAAAAAAAAAACATAATTTTAAGAAAATATATTTGTTTTATTCTAAATTGAGATATTTGGAGTGCTAAATTAACATTACGGTTGCATTTAATAGAGGAAAGTTTTCTTGACGCCTGAAAATATGCTTTGAATTTGAAATTGTCTTAAACATTGAAGGGTAACACTGGCAATGACATGTAAATAGCGCCATCTATTGAAACACATGATTCAAAAACGCAAATTTTTTTTTTGGAACTCAAAATTTAATATGTCTTTCATATGGGCTTTAACGAAAAATTTATATTTTTTGATATAGCGGTTCAAAATGTGATTTCTTAAGCAGTGTCAAATATATACGGCTGGAAAAAAACATTGGACTGGGGAATGGTTTGTCCGAAAAGTCCACACAACAATTTTAGGCCTTCTTAGTACTCGAAATGTACAATTTGTTCAGTTTGACAAAAAATTTTAATCAGATATTCAAGTTTTTGTATTTTATATAAATTTTTGCTTTTCTCGGAAAGAATAATGGGAAAATGTGTTCCTCTTACACCAAGAGTCTTCAAATCGTTTATTACGAAGTTTACCGAGGAGGATATTAGAAAAACCATTGCACAATGGACCCATATCTAATATTGCCCCAGAAACCAATAGCGACCCAATATCAAATTTCAGGATTTCAGCTAAGCAATTTCCCCCTTAATTAAGAACCATTTAGCATCCATTTCAAATTTCAGGAATCCAGCTCTATACCTTCAACGAACACCAAATATAGTACCATTTAGTACTTGTTGTATAATTTAAGTACACGTTTCCAAAATTGCCTACATATCTCAATTCCAGATACTCAATATCAAAATTTGAGGATTTCAGGCCTGGCATTTCACCTTATAGCAAATGTAGTGCTATTTAGTACTATTCGTACAAATATAGGGTGCATTTCCAAACTACCGCCCAATCACAAGCACATATACCATCGGTAATCTAAATATCAAATTTAGGAATTTTATCTCTATCCCCTCACCCAATACCAAAAATATAGTACCATTCAATACCTCTTTTGTCAACTGCAGACACCAACAGTGACATCCATATCAAATTTGAGTAATCCAGCTCTATCCCTAATATAGTACCATTTAGTACTTTTTGTATAATTATAGTACTCATTTCCAAAACCATTTCATATCTCATTACGGAACACCAAAAGTGTCCTAAATATCAAATTTCATGGTTTCAGTCGTATCCCCTCACCCCTTACCAAATTTAGTACCATTTAGTACTTTTCGTACAAATATAGAACGCATTAAAAAAAACACCGCCAAATATCAAGTATTCTAAATATCAAATTTTAGAATTTTATCTCCATCCCTTTACCCACTCACAAAAATATAGTACCATTCCGTACTTTTCGTACAATTTCCGAAACCACCTCCATATGTCCAGGCTAGATATGAACATCCACCCTAATTCAAATTTCAGATTTCAAACACTATTTGTCCAACCAATACCAAATTGTACCAAATATGGTACTATTTAGTACTTTTCGTGCCCTTGTAGCACACATTTCCAAAGTCGTCTGTTTTCCACAAACCTACCACCAATAGGGTTCCAATACAATTTTTTTAGCTTCATCCGTTCACCCTAAACCAATTTGTTCCAATTTTAGTACCATTTAGTACAGTGCGCACACTTAGTACATATTTCCAAAACCCCCTGTATATATCAAATTTACTCTCCAACCTTGATTCTCATAACAAATTTCCATATTTAAGGTCTGTCCGTTCACATAATACCAAATAGTACCATTTTAGAAATTTAGTACCATTTTGGAACCTTTCGTAAACTTAAAGTTGCACTTTCTATAAACCCTTTGGTACCTCTATCCTGCACTCCATCAGTGACTCTCACTCTAAATTTCAGAATTCTACCTCATTCCGTTTTTCCAATACAAAATATTCAATTTTGAGTACATTTTAGCACTTTTCATACCCATTTAGTACGAATTTCGAAAAACCCAAAATTTCAAGATTCTAGCTTCAGTCATTTCATCGGAGGGTTGATTCTCAGTCAGTTATTTCACTACTCTATTATATATTTTAATAAACGGACATTGGCTGAGGTTATATATCTGCCAGCAAAACCGACTGATATTTTATTGATTTGCTACAATACAGCCTTAAAAGTAGGCATTTTTGAAAAATTAATTCGCCAAAACCATGTTCCACTGTAAAAAGCATAAGAAAATTTGGCTTCCCAAAAAATTTTTCTTGCTTTTCAATCATGTGTTTCAATAGATGGCGCTATTTGCATGTCAATGCCAGTGTTGCCCTCTCATTTCGGAGTGTGTTAACATAGCGAAGCATACTTCAAGGCGCAACTTAATAAAGGTGATACGGCATTGAAATAGGTGTGCTTGAGGTATTTATTATTTTTTTTTCGAGTTTTTTATTTTTTTTTTTTTGACAATTTACTTACCTTCCAGTTAAACCAAGTCCAAAAACATTTAAAAATTTTGTTTTTAATGACATTCAAAATATATTTTTGACTGATGTTTTATGTTTTTTTTATTGTGTCTCTAATATTTTTTGTATTTTTCGTTCTTTAAAATGAGTTGTGTATTGTTGTTTTCATTATGATTAACAATGGATTTTTCGTTTTGTTCTATGTAAATAAATTTTTGTATATATTTTGATACATTTTTTGTTTTTGTTGTATTATTTTTTATATATCAATAAGTTTGTGGTTTGCGATTTTCAATGCATCAAATAATGTATATATGTATTTAGTGTTTGTGTTGTTATATTTGGCTAATTACTAACATTTACAGAAATCTATATAGTTTCATCGTATATATGTATAAATATAAAAATTTCTTTATTAACAATTTGGTTTATTTTTTAAACTTAACAGAGGGAATAGAAATAGAGATTTTATTTTATGTGGGAAAATAAATATATACTTTTTTTGCTATAAAAATGGGAAAGAAGTTTAACTTTTTTATAGGATTTTTTTTTTTACAACAGTATTACAGATATTTTTCAGATATTCATAATATACAATAAATGACAAGAAATTGCAATAAAAAATTAAAATAAAAAAATCTAATCAAAGAATTTTGGAATTTTTTTACAATAATATTAGATATATTTTTCAGATTTTCATAATATACAAAAAATGACAAGAAATTGCAATTAAATTTAATTTAAAAAAATTAAAATAGAAAACAAATAATTAAGGTTTAAACAAAATCAAGTAAAATATTTACAGTAATTTCCATTAAAAAATAAAAAAATATTTTTTATAAAACCTATTTTTTATATATTGATTTTCTATTTTTATATATATATATATATATATATATATATATATATATATATATATATATATATATATATATATATATATATATATATATATATATATTTTTTTTTTTTTTTTTTTTTTTTAAGTTTTATTAAAAATATTTTTAAATTAAATTTTTTTTTAAATTATTTAAACCTTATATAATTTTTATTACATACTTAAAAATAGCTTAGAGTTGTTTAGAAGTTAATTTTACAATTTATTTATGGTCACAGAAAATATTACAAAAAATCACTTTTTTTAAAAAACAAGTGTAGTTTAACAGTTTCTAAAAAATAATTATAAGTTATTTTTTACAAATATATTAATATTAGTATATGTATATATAATTTATTTTATTTTTTTTATAAAATTTTCAAAGAGTGTAACAGCTGTTTGTTTTGTTTTTATTTGTGTAGACATAGAATAAATAAAATAGTATTTCTTTTCTTCTTATTTTTATAAGTTTTTTTATATATATATTTTAAAAATATATTTTTGCGTGTATATATATATTAGATTACATTAATGTTTTATTTTTTTGTGTGTTTGGTTTTAAAACAGTTTTAAACTTGAGTTCGTTTCTTTTTCATGTGTGTGTAGTACGTGAGTGAATATTTGTTGTATATTTTTAGTTTTTATTTGAGCTTTTGCTTTGTTGCTTTACATTTTATTTAAATATTTTTCTTAAATAAATATTATTTTTTTTTCTTGTGTGTATATGAAGGATAACAGTTTGTCGATTAAAACTTTGCAAATTGTTGAACTCAAAATGTGGGAATTTAATGATCTGCTCCAAAATCTGCAAAAAATCAACTAGTTTTCCAATATTTTTATGTATCGTAAAGGAAAAATTGAAATTCTGGAACAGAGCATAAAATAGTGAGTTACCAAATCATATATTTTCATATCTTTACTTTAAAATTCAACTTTTATGTTACCCTTAAATATCTCAAACCTGCTACATGCATTTAAATTTTATTCAACAATTTATAAAGTTTTAATATTTTGTTTAGAATTAGATTTTTTTCGTGTATATTTGTCAAATGAAACAATCGATCCATTTTTGAAAAAATAACCAACGGATCATCATCGCCTTGTGCAACAAATTTTTGTTCTCTTTGCAACGTTTCAATTTCGTTTTGTATATTTAATATTCTATAAATAATTATTTATAAATATTATTAAATAATATTTTTTGTTGTTTTTACTTTCTGCTATATGACACTTATATAAATTTAATTTATTTTGTTTTTAAATTTATTTGTATTTTATTATTTTCTATAATATTTCAGGTTTTCGTTTATGCTCTATTCAACGGCAAGATGAGTATAAAAATAAAAATATTTAAAAATGGGGTTTTATTATGTGTGGTCTTGCAATTTGTTAATATTGCGAATATATATACATACATATATGTTTATGTACGCCATTCGCTTTTAATTTTTTTTCTTTAAAAAATCATTTTTATTTCAAGGAAATTAGGTACATTTTTAAAACCCTTGGAGATTTTCTGCGTAGTGGTCCTTTATATATTGGGTAGATCTTTGTGTGACACTAAATGGTAAAGATACATTTACATAATTTTTTTTTTTTTTGGTTAAACGTAATAAAATAATTAGCAATCACAATAAATTAGACTGTGAAAAACATATGTTTAATTTATTGTGAATGGTCAATTATTACGTTAAAGTAAAAAAAGAGTTGTGTGTAAACGCTGTGTAACAATGCATTATGGTTGTGATCATGGTACAATAAGGAGGTAGAACAGCTTCGTAAAACTAAAGAAATACAGCTCTGAGGCTATGCCCGCTTCCTGTCAGACTGATTTAAAATTATATATAACAATCAGTTTTCATTTTCTTTTCATGTATTTCCTCATTTTTAAAATGAGTTAAATAACGCGAAAACTGAATAAAATGCCTGGATTTTCTCTCAAAAATATGATCCACTGGTTAAAAGCTTTAACGCGCGAGCCGCAATGAACGCGTCTTCCAATCATTGGTTTTGAATAAATTTTGATTTTATTTTTCAAAAACAATAAATACATACACAAAATTGGCAGAAGTCGGGCACATTTAGAAAAAATAATTGTAATCAGCTGGTAGCTCTTCCTTACTTTTTATTGTACCATGGTTGTGATATTATCACCGACGTAGCCAGAAATTGTTTCGCAACCATTTCGAGGGGAGTTGGACAACTGACACAAACGAGAGTTTCCTAGTATAATGCTCTAAAAATATCTAAAAACATAATAATACGGATAATATGGCAACACTTTTTTCAACAAACCGATTTGTATACACCACATGGCACAATAAATCTGACTCTGGTAGTCTGATTTCAAATAATTATATCCGGTTCTGCATTTTTTTTCAAATTGAACAACATAGAATGCAAGTTCTCACTTGTAATTACATACATAATACTACATTTCCATCTCTGCATTTTCTGCAATTTACCTTGTCAAATGTTAACTGCATAGAAAGCAAGTTCTCATTTTCGACTTGTGTATATAAAATGGATTTATGAATCTATGTTTAGACAATAAGATGTTGTTAAAGAAAAAGTTTTGAGAAGCTGTAAACATATGATTACACTGGGTTACCCTGGGAATTCTACCATATATTCAATATTACAGAGATACCATGGTAGAAGAATACAGGTACATGAACTGTCAAACCGATTTTGGAATTGAAAATTTTAAATGAAAATTTATTAAAATTTGTAAAAATTGTTGAAAAATTATCTATCGGAAAGATGTAATAACCGCCCTTAGCGAACTATTATTTCAAACAACCCATTTTTGTTTTGAAACTGGTAATACTGTGTTTACACGGTACGTGATTCACTCGATTCGTTGGTTTACCTATACTTATTAAATGTCTCCCTACCCAAAATGTAACACTCTCAGAAATATGTGTCATTCCACATATTAAAATGCAAAATACAAAAATTTAACGAAATTTTTTAAATTATTAATTTCGCTCTCATGTGAGGCATGCTTCTTGTCACGAGTTGAAATTTCGACAAAAAATATGAAAGAGAAAAAAATTATTAATTTGTCTATCGCCATAAAAAATTTGACAAATGGTTCTTCCGAAATATACAAAAGTTTATTTTAAACTCAACATTTTCAGAAAAAAATTGAAAAAATGAATAACAAGTAAAAAAGCTGTAAGTTCGGCCGGACCGAACTTTGAATACCCTCCACCATTTGGAACGAATTTGGCAATTCTCAAAAACAGTAAAATCCGTTAAAACTTCTGTTAAAATCTTAAAAATACCGAATGTATTTGTCATAAGTCAATACAATATTCAAATGCGAAACTTTAAAAAAAATCGGTTATAATGTCGATAAAATCAAAATACCGAATATCGGAAGGTACCGTTATATGGGGGCTATACGAAGACGTGGACCTGCACAGACAATTTTCTGTCGTAGGCTGTAGTATTCATTACGAACTTCAAATACCAAATTTGAAACTATTTCGGTGAATAAATTCGCTAAAATCATTAAAATACCGAATATCGGGAGGTACAGTGATGTGGGGGCTATACCAAAACGTGGACCTTTCAATACCAAAAGTCCTGCAGATATAACATACATTTGAGCAAAATTTTATCAATCTACTTAAATTCGTTTGGAAGCTAGAGTGATTTCCACAGACGGACATCGCTAAATCGTCATAGAATTTTATGCTGATTAAGAATATATATACTTTGTGGGGTCTAAAATGTGTATTTCGAGGTGTTACAAACGGAATGACATACTATGGACAGACGGACGGACAAAGTTTGAAGAAAATCGTTGACGTTCGCATGTTATGAGAGTTACAATTATTCAAACTTCTGTAAAATTTGAAGAGAATCATATTCATATTTCGTCTTTTGTGAACGTTGTGGTCATTCAAAATGTTAACGCTTTGTGGAAGAGGTAGCAAAAGGAGTACACCGATATTGCCCGTCAAACAGCATGAAAAACTGGATAATGGTACTTTGAATTAAGAACCGCGCCTATATTTTATGTGTTTCGTAACTTTGAGAGTGAACAACGCGATTTACATCGCAATGAGAAGGTTTTACAACCTTTTAATTTCATTTCATCAGTGATCTATAGATCGATATTCGTCACCCATAAAGATGCGTTTATATATGTACTGTCACATTTATTGTCTACCTGTATTTTCGTGTGTGTGTGTCAAATTTGTCACTTAAAGCTGTTAACAGACGAAGGGGGTTTTACATATGTGCTGCACTTTTTTTATCCATGTGTATTCTAGTGTGTATGCCAAAGGTATTATTAAAAAAATGACTATAAATTCTTGCTATCGCACACCTGCATAGATTTTTTTGGTTACACTCTGATTATATTGAATTTTCTAGAAAATTACAATACTTTTTGGATGACTTTTTATTACAAATTTAATTTTTTGTATCGAAAAAGTACATTTGTACTTTACTCATGTATTTCACAACTGAAATGTTGTCCATGTATCACACGATGTGTGCAACTTCTACATATTGAAAATTTGACACTACATATGTAAAACCCATATCGTCAAATAAATGAGGAATCTTAGTAAAACATGTGTGGGGGGGCGTTTAAAGCAGCGGAAGATTAAAGTTAAGATGGTTCTTCGGAAAATATCAAAGGAGCGTAGGGTCAAAATCGAACTAAGTCCACCTAAAACTAAAAAGACCTATGTCTTTGCTTTGATCCTCTACGAGGAAGCCAGCCGATAACTTAAGTCATTCAAATAGCGATGAGATTTTCGTTGACGTTGTTACAAATGTTTCTGGAATTATCGGTACGCCTACGTCACAAAGGCCAATTTAAGTATTTTGGCAAATAATATATAAACTGTCTCTGCCTCACCTTTTATAAACCCAGAGTCAAGGTAGATGTACTAGGTAATCGCATCAGCCCAGCTGACGGCACCATTAAATGTCAAAACAAATTGTTGTAATGAAGAATTCGCCCTAAATGAAAGCAACAATAAATTTGTTTATGTTGTCTTCCCTAAAAGTACCTTTTTATAATATTTCAAATAATTTAAGAGCAAGTTAAGAGTGCAACCAGTAAAAAAATTAAAAGAAAATAAAGGAAGGAGGTTAGAATGGAGTGCAGCTTTAAGAATTAAGTTAGCCTCAACATCTAAGATTCCCAAAGCACAGCATCACGGGAAGTAGTGCAAGAATTCGACTCTTGTCATTTGCAGTTCCGGAAAACTTTCGGTTTAAACCAGTAAAATATAGTCATTATAAGTTTCTTGGTTTAAAAATATCGCAATACTACAATTAATACTTATTTTACTCTTATTTGTTTTACAATAAAAACTTTTATTGCGACGTTCGTTTACGACGAGAGGCACACAAAATAAAATGTAAACAAACACCTCGTTTCTGATTGGTTGAAACAAATTTGCCGCAACATTTAAATGTCATGGCGAATCTATGTTTTTCGCCTTAGATGCCAATTTTGACATCTAAGTTGCTTTTTTGTAGCAATTCGCCGATGCGGTTACCTGTTAGATCTTCCTTGGTACCATGATGATTTCATCAAAACTGGAACACTGACTTTTACACAAGACAAACTGTCCTGAATCAGTTTAACATTTTACTACCACAAACTCGAAGCTGCGATTACACTGTGTGAAAAAATTATTTTTTTAAATGATGACAGGAGAAATCCGGCGGATTCTAAAAGTATAGCTAAAAATAGACGACACTTGTTTCGTTGTTTTGAAAGTATGCATCGAAAAGTAACCAAACTCGAGTTGGGCAAGTTCCTCCCTCTTTCTTCATTTTTTGTAATTTTCATTGCGTCTTTGACAATATTGTTGTTAAAAACACGAGCATTATTTCGGATATGGATTTTTAACCTTAAGTTGAGTCACCAAGGGGGTATTTTTAGTCCCTTAAGTCGTAGGAAGTTAAAATAGTCCACAAATGTATTTTTATAAAATACTAGTATCTTTTTTTCCAGGAAAGGTGTAAATTTTATGGTTATTTCCATACCCTACGTGAGTTTATGAAAAATTTCCCTGCAAAGCACCATTATAGAATAATGACGTCAGGGAAAAAATATTCTGCATAAATTTTCACTGTAAGTGGTTGAAGAAAATATATTTCTATTTCCATTATATTATCAAGAAAATGTTCGCACCGTACTTGCCATAAAGAAAAAAAAAAAAACATATTTAAATTTGATGCATAATTTTTCCTAGTAGCGTCTCCACATAATGAGAACTCAAAATACTGAAATTTGGCCAAAATAAATTGAAAATTTGAATAAAACGTAGAAAATATTTGAAACCTGGGTTTGCCATTATGGTAGTAATGCACCTCAAATTATTGGACTCAATTTGTATATGCAAAGGATTTATAAAAGTATAAAAAGCTAAGAGTCCGTAGCTTTGAAATTTTCCAGAATCCAGACTGGTAAAATAAAAGTTTTATAAACAAAAATTTGTGATACTTTTTTCCAGACCCTCACATTGATTAAAGAACATATCTTACTTTGAAACTATCCCCAATAAAAAAAGTGTTTTGGAAGATTTTGACTTTGAATGGAGTCCTGTCGAATTAGCAGTAAAAATGCCACCTTATAATTGTTACTCGTAGTATAATTTTTGAATTTAATTTAAAGGATATAACTGTCTTCTTTTTTTAGCTCTAGAGTTTTTGAATAATTTTTTATGAGTGAAAAAAAAACATGTACAACTTGAAATGCAAAAGTTGTGTAATATTACATTGTATTTTCTTCCTTTTTGATGGAATTTCCGCAGAAAAGCATTTGACAGCAAGAGATGACCAAAACCTGAATTTGCATTCTATGTGACCATATTAAATAGATTTTGCCAAAAAAAAGCATATTTCCTAGACGATATTACAGTTGTTTTCGAAAATGTCGGAACGCCCACATCGCAAAGACAAATTTTGGCATTTTGAACATTAATAATCTCTTTTGTCTTTTGAAAAGGCATTTCTGTAAATTAGACATTCCTTCAGCCTTCAAGACTACTACTTTTGCAGCTTTTTCGATGTATTAAAGGAAAAGTCGGTTATGGTAGTAATTTTTTTAAATTTTTGCATATTCTGGAATCTGTGACTTTTTTATAGACCATGGAACGAACTTGATTTTTCTCTTTGATAGTTTGAGAGTGATTCAATCACAATGATGGCTGTTTATATTTTTCTTTTCAAAAAAATAACAAAAACTACAATTGTGATTGAAACACTCTCAATATGGCAACACTGTTGTTTACCTTGAAGCTCCATATGTTTAATTCACAATAACATTGCATTTCGCCGGCATAGAGGATATCAGCTGGTTTTAAGGAGAGACCTTAAAAATAGCCTTGCATTTTACCATTCTTTCTCATTTTGTTTAGAGAAATTTCAACACGTTATTTCTCTCTCTCTCCCCCCGCTTTAACTAATGCTACCATTACCATTTTTCATCTCACCCAATAAAGGACCACCACTATGACTGGCATCTTCTTCCTCCATCTCATCGTCGTCGCCGACCAGATCGGGTTTGCGTTGTGTGAACAGGAACACTTCCATGTTGTCTTTACCCTTCACATAAACACTACCTCTCGGCTCAAATTCATATTTTGTTTCCAAAAATTGTAGACAATCTTTACCCACCTGTATACGATTCGAAACGCCGGTGGAGTCCATGCGGGAGGCTACATTAACGGCATCGCCCCAAATGTCGTAGTGCAGTTTACTGGTGCCAATAACACCGGCCGTTACATCGCCTACATTGAAACCGATGCGTAAAATTAAATTGAATTCCAACAAATCTTTGTTAAAGGCATCCACCACACCCTGCATGGCAATGGAGAATTCCATGAGGGCATGAATGTGTTCGTTGCCATCACCACGGTGCTTGGGATCAAGGCCACTGGCGGCCATGAATGTGGAACCAATGGTTTTGATTTTTTCCACACATTTAAATTCGGGTCGTGAGAGTAGTTCATCAAAGTCCCCTATGAGTTCGTTGAGTACTCGCAGGTATTCCTTGCCTCCCAAATAACTTTCATCGTACATTTCATTGAAGTTGACAATGGAGGCGAATATGATGCCCACATTGTGGTGATTCTCGGAATATTTGGCGGTATTTTTCAAATGTTCCGCCACATGTTTTGGTATGATGTTGTGTAGCAACATGTCGGCTTGGTTTTTCATATTTTGTACCCGTATTTTATCCTGATTTGCGACGGCATTGCCATAGAATGTCAACCGATAGCCGATTTCAAATTCCCGATTTAGGAACCAAACGAGAACCAGGATCAAAAATAGATCCAAATAGATTTCGACATGATAATCTTGGAACCATTTGATTTCTTCGATGATGTAGTTCAGGGCAGCCTTGGAACTCAACGGCAGGTGGGTAACATTTAGCAATGCCTCTGAGGCCTCTTGGGCATCGGTGCGATTCGAATAGACCAGTAACTGGGAAACGGCAATGCCCACAAAACACATGGCCGCCATAAAGGCCAGAATATTCCGCATCCAACAGTTGAGTTGGGTGAAATTACAAAAATGGACAATGCACACGAAAATGAGGAAGCCGTAGTGGTACTCAAAGGCCTCCAATTCATTGAGATCGAGTAACAGGAAATTTGCTATGATCAAGATGACCGGCATGGCCATCAGCACGGCCAGGCAAATATGCCAGGGATACCAACTGGAGATGGCCTCAAAAATTCGATCTGCACACGATTCAGAGTTGGTCAATTTCGAACGGGTATGTGAGGATTGACGCCGACACATTTGACGGGTAAAAAGAAACAGGGCAAATACCTGTATTGCCGTAAAGCAGGTGAACAATGAAACCCACAGGCGGAAACTTGGCGTCATGGTGTTGGGCGTCATCAGGAACAGCGATATCGAAATGCATAAATACACCGCCAGGCCCACAAATATATCGATGTAGGTATTGTAGCGCGGTGTGGCTAACGTGGGCGGGCCCTCCGTTTCATTTTCATTGCCAAAACGATGAGCCTTCGAGCGGAAATCACGCTCCATTGGCCTTGACTTAAAGTACAAACTAAATCTCCTCAACGGAGGCTTGACTAGATAACTCCTTTGGGATTTGGCATTGTCGCGGACACAACGTATCAGCTGAAGATCCGATTGTTTGCGTAATTGTTGTAAACAAGCGGCCAGCGGGTCAGCAACCTGACCCGTCGAACCGGGATGTGACGATGGCAAGGGAGGTAGTGGCACATGAGGTAAAGTTTGGACATCTCCTAAATTCGAGATGCTGGAAGTGGAGCTTGTAAAATAGCCCGATACCCGATGGGTACTGATGGCGGTCTGGTTGAGGGCATAGATTTGCTGCTGTATGGAAGAACGACGTGAGTTGCTCTTGATGCCCGAGTCCTTGCGTGATGTGGCCGAGGGACATATACTTAGGCCGTCGGGCCATATGCTGGAGTTGCGTGAGTGTGTGGGTTGGGCAGGTGTAGAGATTCCCGGTACAATAAGAGGTTGGCAGGGATTATTGCCACCGGATGGTGTCAATGCCACTGCAGCCGAGGCCAAAGCCGCTGTTGCTCCATCCGCCTTATTTGTGGTCAAGGTGGCGGCTCGTTGTCGCGGCAGGGGTGAGGTCTCCGATTGCCCACTTCGGCCACACTGAGAACGATAGCTGCCCGAGCGTCCAAACGGCGATATATCACTTCTCGATTGGCTGATGTACGAACGTATATCAATGATATCATCAAACATGGAGTACTGTCCCGGCGAACAGCAACTGGCATCCGGCGAACGATTAACACTCGAACAAATGCCCGTTGAGGTGGCCACATGATGTAACATCGGTTTCTGTGGTATTTCCAACATATTCGGATTCGATTTGGCATTTTCAATAACCACCGGCAGCTGCTGATAACCATTTGGTTCAATAAATGCCACCGACTCCTCGTTGGGCGCCACTGTGGTTGGGGTCTTTGGTCCATTTGACATTAAACTAATACTTACATCGGTGCTGGTGGACTTATCATGTGTCTTGGTTTTCTCCTCAAATTTTTTCAGAAACCTCGGTACCTTCCACACCTTTAATCGGATCTTTGGTCTGGCCACTGCCGAATTGCCATTTGTTAGATGTGTCTTGCCATTCGTCGTGGGAATGATTTCATCTGTGGCCGCCTCATTTGGATCATTTTCCGAATCTAAACTACCGGGTAGGCTTTTTGTGGTAATAATTATCTTTGGTCGTTCACGGCATACAATGACGGGTGGTATACCCGCCGCAGCGGGATGTATGATGCCCCGCTCTATATCACAATCTCGTGACTGGGATTTTTTACGTAATTTCATGCTCAGCGATGTCAGTCTTGGTCGTATCGAAAGAACGGGTGAGGGGTTCAGCGAAGAGGAGAGTTGACCCACCGGTGATGCTGGCGGTACATTTGGATGTATTACCGAGATATTGGTAGCACTGTGTGATAGGGAACCGGTTTGTCCCTGGATACCGGGTAACATTAGATGACTGCCATTCGAGTTGGCATGGACACTGGGACAGATGCTATTCGTACGGGAGATATCTTTTCGTCGGCCCACCACAAAATATGTGCGGTGACCTGGAAAGAGAAATTTTGAAAGTGGAAGTTAGTTTGGGTTATAAAACAAATGTTCGGTTGGTGTGGTTTTGTGACGTCAGAAATCATCCCCCACTTTTTGTTTTTTTTTTTATGAATTGTTGTATTTTCTTTCCTATACCTATTTCATTCGTAATTTTATGGATCTCTTTGTAACGTCATTAATTGCCATCTTAGACTCACTCGTTTTTATAGTTACGGTCCCCTTTGTTGTTTTTATGCATTAGTTGGTTTGTGTGTGTACGTGTGCATGTTCTTGACGAATGGACGTGGTTGGGAACCCGTGGCAATATTTTGGAAAATATTGGATATGGATTCTCATATATAGATGATGACCTATAAATACGAGTGAGGAGGAAGCCACCTTATGTGTGTGTGCACATGTTCTTTGACGAATGGACGTGGTTGCGAATTCGTGGGAATACTTTGGAAGATGTTGGATAGGGATTATAAAAACTCCCATGTAGGGATTATAAAAACTTCCGCGGCCTATAAATACGAGTGAGTAGAAAGCCACCTTATTGGTGTGTGTGCATGTTCTTTGACGAATGGACGTGGTTGCGAATTTGTGGGAATATTTTGGAAGATATGGGATAGATATTCTCAAAAGTTCCATGTATAGATGATGGCCTATAAATACGAGTGAGTAAGAAGCCACTTTATTTGTGTATATGTGTGCATGTTCTATGACGAATGAACGTGGTTGGGAATTCGTGGGAATATTTTGGATAGGGATTCTCAAAACTTCCATGTATAGATGATGGCCTATAAATACGAGTGAGTAGAAAGCCACCTTATTTGTGTGTGTGCATGTTCTTTGACGAATGGACGTGGTTGCGAATTCGTGGGAATATTTTGGAAGATGTTGGATAGGGATTATAAAAGCTTTTATGTATAGATGAGGACCTATAAATACGAGTGAGTAGGTAGCCATCTTTTTGTGAGTGCATGCGTGTGTGCATGTTCTTTGACGAGCGGACCTGGTTGCGAATTAGTTGGATTATTTTGAAAATATTGGATAGATATTCTCAAAACTTGCATGTATAGATGAGGACCTATAAATACGAGTGAGTAAGAAGCCACCTTATTTGTGAGTGTGTGCATGTTTTTTGACGAATGGACATGGTTTCGAATTCGAGGGAATATTTTGAAAGATATAACTTCCATGTATAGACGAGGTCATATAAATACGAGTGTGTAGGAAGCCACCTTATTTGTGTGTGTGTATGTGTGCATGTTTTATGACGAATGAACGTGGTTGCGAATTCGTTGGAATATTTTGGAAGATATTGGATAGGGTTTTCAAAACTCCATGTATAGATGAGGACCTATAAATACGAGTGAGTAGGAAGCCATATTATATGTGTGTGTGCATGTTCTTTGACGAATGGACGTGGTTGCGATTTCGTGGGAAAATTTTGGATGATATTGGATAGGGATTCTCAAAACCTCCAAGTATAGATGAGGAACTATAATTACGAGTGAGTAGGAAGCCAGCCAGTCAGTTCAGTATTGAATCGCAACTTGTAAACGGCGTTTAATGAAAGAGCAAAGTAAAGAGCTGTGTGCTAAGTAGTTTATAGTTCTCATTGTATCGTCATTAATTGTTCTTTTTCACTCACTCGTTTTTATAATTATGGTCCCATTTGTTGTTTATATGCATTAGTTCCTTTGTGTATGTTTTAATATTGGAAGATGCTGGATTGGGATTTTCAAAACTTCCTTATATAAATAAGGACCCATAAATACGAGTGAGCCAGTCAGTCAGTTTAGTATTAATTAGATTGGCCCCGATCCCACCTTTGAAGCCCTCAAGAATAAGTCTCTTTTGCAACTGGTTTCGAAGCAAAAAAGTACCTAAGTGGAATTAAAGTGATGATGGGTATCTCATACTTACCGAAAACCTCTTCTCCTTCATCCAAATAGTAGGCTTCACCCAAAAAGCTGGCTGTCACCTCGGATATATGAACCTGTTCCGGCTTGCCGGTTGATTCCATTCTGAAATACGGTCACAATTTGAATAAATAATCTCCCGACAAATATCAAATTCTAAACTTACTTATTTGCCAGTGACACATCATTACTCCAAACATCGAACTTGACCCGCCGCGTTCCAACAATACCACACAACACGGTACCGGTGTGGACACCAACACGCATCTTGACACCTTCATGGCGCTGGGAGTCAAAGTCACGCATTGCCTCAATCATGCCCAAGCCCATTTCCACGCAACAGATGGCATGATCCGGTCGAGGCTCTGGACAGCCGGACACACAATAGTAACAATCACCCAATGTGGAGATTTTTTCGCAACCCTTGAGGGTACACAAATCGTCGAAACGTTCGAAGAGATCATTTAAAATTTCCACCAGCTGTTCGGCGGTTTTGGTCGAAGACATGCGCGTGAAACCGACAATATCGGCAAACAAAATGCTCACATTATCCATGCTGTGCATGTGGAAGGGACGAAACAAGGACTTGACATCATTGGATGGTCTTGGTCGCATATAGTGGGACTCCGGTTTGATACTGCCATCGTTGTTGCCATCAATGCCGCCCTCATTCAGCAACATATTTGCCACCTTCGGAGGCATAACGGAATGTATCATTTTCTCCTTCAGCTGTTTTTCCATTTCCAGCTGCCGCCTGACTAGAAGATTTTGACCCACCTTCATGAAGGTGCCACGCATGCGTACCAAATTCATTACCAACACATGCACACCCACCAGATGGACACAAAAATGGCAAAGTATTCGTAGGACGAGAATTTTATAACTAAAATCCGCTTGGGCGCCATGTACAGCATTTCCGGCAACGACGATATGGGTCACTACCTCAAAGAGAACGGTATATGTTATGGCGATGAGGGCACTCAGCCACAGTGTCATTGGCAGAGCGGTATAGATGAGCAGGACAATTTCCAGGCATATGGCAAAATGACCCAAGGGGCTAAAAGCCCGCCCCGTACAGGTGAGAAATGCTAGGGAGGTAGCACACAGTAGTGCTGCTGTTATGGCTGATGTGGCAACATGATTTGCCCGATACATATCCCAGTGGGTAAAGCACATGGCCATGATTGTTATTAGCGATAGCAGTGAAAAGGAACTTGAGATAGGACGCCAGAAATCTTCGGAACCGCCATCCACCAAGAAGTAAAGAAACCATGCCAGCGAACAGAGTAGAATGTAGGAGAGGGCAAATCTGGAAGGAGAAAGAGATAAATATGATGAAATAATTACACTGTAGAGTTAGAAAACGAAAACGAGTGTATCGGCATAACATTTTTTTGAAAAATCCACGCAAAATGGCTGGGTCGGTACTTCAGGAAAAAAATTAAAAAATAACCTTCGAAAAATGCTTAAAAAATCCACGCCTCGAAATAATCATTCGAAAATTGCTTAAAAAATCCACGCCTCGAAATAATCATTCGAAAATTGCTTAAAAAATTAACGCCTCGAAATAATTCATCGAAGAATTCTTAAAAAATTAACGCCTCGAAATAATTCATCGAAGAATTCTTAAAAAATTAACGCCTCGAAATAATTCTTCGAAATTCTTAAAAAATTAACGCCTCGAAATAATTCTTCGAAATTCTTAAAAAAATCCACGCCTCGAAATAATTTTTCGAAATTCTTAAAAAAATCCACGCCTCGAAATAATCCATCGAAAAATTCTTAAAAAATCCAAGCCTCGAAATAATTCTTCGAAATTCTTAAAAAAAATCCACGCCTCGAAATAATCCTTCGAAAAATTTTTAAAAAATCCACGCCTCCAAATAACTTTTCGGGGAAATAAATTTCCAAAAAATTCTTAAAAAATCTACGTCTCGAAATAACTCTTCGAAGAAATAATTATTCAAAAAATTCTTAAAAAATCCACGCCTCAAAATAAGTCTTCGAAAAAATAATTATTCAAATAATTCTTAAATAATCTACGCATCGAAATAATCCTTAAAAAATTCTTAAAAAATCCACGCCTCAAAATAACATTTTGAAGAAATAATTATTCAAAAAATTCTTAAAAAATCCACGCCTCGAAAAAAACTAACATATAGCTGGGATCGTCCTCTTAAAAATTTCTTTAAAAATCCATGGCTTATGGCTAAGAGGATGCCTCAAAAAATTCTTTAAAAATCCATGGCTTATGGCTGAGAGGATGCCGCAAAAAAGCTTTAAAAATCCATGGCTTATGGTTAAGAGGATGCCTCAAAAAAATCTTTAAAATTCTACGCCTTATGGCTGAGAGGATGCCTCAAAAAATCTTTAAAAATCCATGGTTTATGGCTGAGAGGATGCTTCAAAAAATTCTTTGAAATTCCACGCCTTATGGCTGAGAGGATGCCTCAAAAAATTATTTTTAAATTCAAGCCTCAAAAAGTTCCTTAAAAAATCCACGCCTTATTCTTTAAAAAATGCACTTCTACGACTGGGATGATGCATCAAAAAGTTCCTTAAAAAATCCACGCCTTATTCTTTAAAAAATGCACTTCTACGACTGGGATGATGCATCAAAAAGTTCTTTAAAAAATCCACGCCTTATTCTTTAAAAAATTCATGTCTTACGGCTGGGATGATGCCTCAAAAAGTTCTTTAAAAATCCACGCCTTATGGCTGGGATGATGCTGGGATGGTTCTTCACAAAAATTCCCAAAAAAAAGCTATATGGCTGGGATGGTCCCCAAAAATAGATCTTTAAAATATCCACGCCTTGTACCTGGGATAGTTCTTCACAAAAAATTCCAAAAAAGGCTCTAAATCTGGGATGGTCCCTCAAAAAATCCACGCTTCGTGGCTGGGATGGTCCCTCAAGAAATCCACGTTTCGTGGCTGGGATGGTCCCTCAAAAAATCCACGCTTTGTGGCTGGGATGGTCTGTCAAAAAATCCTTAAAAAATCCACGCTTTGTGGCTGGGATGGTCTCTTAAAAATCGTTAAAAAATCCACGCTTTGTGGCTGGGATGGTCCCTGAAAAATCCTTAAAAAATCCACACTTTGTAGCGGGGATGGTCTCTCATAAATCGATAAAAAATCCACGCCTTGTAGCTTGGATGGTTCTTCACAAAAATTCCCAAAAAAGGTTCTATGGCTGGGATGGTCCCTCAAAAAGTTCTTTAAAATATCAACGCCTTGAAGCTGGGATAGTTATTCACAAAAGTTCCAAAAAAGGCTCTAAAGCTGGGATGGTCGGTCAAAAAAATCCTTAAAAAACCTACGCTTTGTAGCTGGGATGGTCCCTCAAAAAATCGTTAAAAATTCCACGCCTAGTAGCTGGGATGGTTCTTCACAAAAATTTCCAAAAAACACTATGACTGCGATGGTCCCTCAAAAAGTTCTTTAAAATATCAACGCCTTGAAGCTGGGATGGTTCTTCACAAAAATTCCCAAAAAAAGGCTCTATAGCTGGGATGGTCCCTCTAAAAATCCTTAAAACATCCACTCTTTGTGGGGATGGTTCTTCACAAAAATTACAAAAAAAAAAAAATGACTCCCTATGGCTGGGATGAAAAAAATCGAAAAATCTTTAAAAAACTACGCCTTATGGTTGGATGATACCTCGAAAAAAATCTTTAAAAAAACTACGCCTTAAAAAAATGGGATGATACCTCGAAAAATCTTTAAACAACTACGCCTTATGGTTGGGATGATACCTCGAAAAAATCTTTAAACAACTACGCCTTATGGTTGGGATGATTCCTCGAAAAAATCTTTAAAAAAACCCACGCCTTACTGGGATGGTCCTTCACAAGAATTCCTTAAGAAATGATCTCAATACTGGGGTGGTCCTTCAAATATAAAAAATGCAATACTGGAGTGGTCCTTCAAATATAAAAAATTCAAGCGTTATGGCTGGGATGATGCTTCAAAAATTCTTTAAAAAGGTATTTTTTCCCAATCTAAAAAAAATATTTGTTTTCGTTGGGCGCCACCAGAAATAATTTTGATAAGTATTGATATGTAACATCATTTTTCAAAAATTGTACTATACATGTACAAGCTGATTGAATACTGTACAGCCACGCTTCACTTATGTTGCTGTAATCTTTAGTACAGTATTCTGAAGAGAAAAACTCTACATTATTTTCAAATTAAACTTCTCTCTTCCAAAGACCATTATAATTAATGGCGTCTCAATCAAACTTCACTATAATTAATACGATGCGAAAAAGAAATCGACAGTATTAAGCTCACCCAATCGACAGTATTAAGCACACCCATAAAGTTGAAACCAAGAAAAATAATCCTCTTTAATGAGTGATTTTGAGACGTGACAAAAGTAATTTTATCGCCCCCACCACTCCTCTTTATCGCGTAATGTGAATTAAAAAAAAAAACTTTACGCCATAAAAATGTCTACTCGTGTCGATCATTAGTTATGAAGAGTAATCTAAACTAATTTTCCTCACAAGAAAACAAAACTTATTATTGCTAATTAGCAGCAATTAAAAGTTTTTTTTTTTTCGTTTAGAGTACCAGAAAATCTAATAAGAAAAATAAATGTCGTCGAAGAAGCCGGCAAGGAATGGAGAAAACACTTTATAATTTTCTTAAGATTAAAAGTTAATAAGGAAAACTAAACGGAGAGGAAGTATTAATGGTTGTGACACCATTAACTAACTGGTTAACCATCATTATTGGTAAGAAGAAAATTAGGATGAGGGAGAAGGAAAAGGAAGGGAGATGAAGTGATAAATTGGTGCTGACCGTAAAGTGTCCATAATGGCAATGGTCGGAAGTTGCAAGGTAAGAAAGTTAAAGTAATGGAACATTTAAAACCAGTTCATGGTAGGTAAGTTAACAAAGGAGGGAAAAGAGATAATGAGAATGCAAGCAGTTCAATTAAAAAAACACACTTAGAAGTGAAAGTATTCCTCACAAATTTTAAAAAGGATTTTTTAAACCAACGCTAAAAGAATTCTCCAAGTCTCCATAAAACATCTAAAGATTGACGCTTAAAAAATCATAGAAATCTTCAATTCATTCATAAAAATCTTTAAAACAATATCTCCTTTTCGCTTTTTTTGACTAATCCACGCCTTTTGGTTCCTGAAAAGTGTTTTTTTGAATAATCCACGTTCTTTGGTTCCTGAAAAGTTTTTTTTTTGAATAATCCACGCCTTTTGGTTCCTGAAAAGTTTTTTTTTGAATAATCCACGTCCTATGGTTCCTGACAAGTTTTTTTTTGAATAATCCACATCCTTTGGTTCCTGAAAAGTTTTGTTTTTTAAATAATCCACGCCTTTTGGTTCCTGAAAAGTTTTTTTTTTTTTTTTTGAATAATTCATGCCTTTTGGCTCCTGTTTTTTGAATAATCCACGCCTTTTGGTTCCTGACATTTTTTTGAATAATCCACGCCTTTTGGTTCCTGACATTTTTTTTTGAATAATCCACGCCTTTTGGTTCCTGAAAAGTTTTTTTTTTGAATAATCCATGCCTTTTGGCTCCTGTTTTTTGAATAATCCACGCCTTTTGGTTCCTGACATTTTTTTTGAATAATCCACGCCTTTTGGTTCCTGACATTTTTTTTGAATAATCCACGCCTTTTGGTTCCTGAAAAGTTTTTTTTTTTTTGAATAATCCATGCCTTTTGGCTCCTGTTTTTTGAATAATCCACGCCTTTTGGTTCCTGACATTTTTTTTGAATAATCCACGCCTTTTGGTTCCTGACATTTTTTTTGAATAATCCACGCCTTTTGGTTCCTGAAATTTTTTTTATTTGTTTTTGAATAATCCCCGCCTTTTGGTTCCTGAAAGTTTTTTTTTGGCTCCTTTTTTTTGAATAATCCACGCCTTTTGGCTCCTGTTTTTTGAATAATCCACGCCTTTTGGCTCCTATTTTTTGAATAATCCACGCCTTTTGGTTCCTGAAAAGTTTTTTTTTTTGAATAATCCATGCCTTTTGGTTCCTGAATTTTCTTTTGAATAATCCACGCCTTTTGGTTCCTGAATTTTCTTTTGAATAATCCACGCCATTTGGTTCCTGAAAAGTTTTTTTTTGAATAATCCATGCCTTTTGGTTCCTGAATTTTCTTTTGAATAATCCACGCCTTTTGGTTCCTGAATTTTCTTTTGAATAATCCACGCCTTTTGGTTCCTGAATTTTCTTTTGAATAATCCACGCCTTTTGGTTCCTGAATTTTCTTTTGAATAATCCACGCCTTTTGGTTCCTGAATTTTCTTTTGAATAATACACGCCTTTTGGTT